AAAAACTGCTAAGAACTAAAGGAGGGAGATTCCGTGGTTAATTCCGTGTTGAAGTTATACGTTAAATACCGTGAAAAATAAACAGTAAAATTTGAACATTAGACAAAAAAGGTAACAAGGTCCTTATATGTGGTTGAAGACAAAGCTTCGTTTTAGAGAAACCGGGACTAGATTTTTAGAAGACTGATTGGAAAATAAAATACGTAAGGAAGATTACTTTCCGTAAATGCAAAGTTCAGTAAATGTGCGCCAGTAAATCCACTATTGAATTCGAGAGGAACTTGACTAGTAACATGAAAGAAAGAAGAATGCTGATACTGGAACTTGCGTACTACGTCTAAGAAACCTTGATCAAACAGATCTTATTTTGATACTTTCTTGAAAACACCGGGAGAGTTGCCCTACTGCAATTCTACAGAAACAGGTCTTACAATTTCAATGTTTGCTCTTCGTTTTCTCCACATTTTTTTCAATGCATCTCTAAAAACCGTCATCTTAAAGCTGTAAACGAATGGATTCACCATGGAGTTTGCCAAATGCAAGGTTTTTACGACCCATACTGCAGGTTCAGGGATGCATCTCAGACAAAAAACTCTCGCGGTATACACGAAAAACGCCGGTAGCCAAAGAATCAGCGACACAGCAACTACCACGAGAAGTGTCCTGGAAAGACGCAAGCTGTGTTCTACACTCAATTGGTTGTGAATACGGCCCTCGACTAACTCAGATGATGATGCTGTTCTGCGCAATCGATAGCGTATCGTGATGTAACTGGCACAGGTAATCAGCAGAGCAATAAATAGGCTCAAGTGAGTCGATAAAACAAAAGCTATCTCGTTTATATTTGCGTAGTAGATTTTCAAAAAAATTATCCCAGCCAAGCAAATTCCGAGTGCCCACACAACAATGATACTGTAAATATAAGCACTTGTGTTTGCTACGCGGTGGCGCAGAGGATATAACACAGCGTAAACCCGTTCCAGCGAAATTAGTGCGAGAAAAAACACCGACGTGATAGAGGAGAAGGTCTGGAATCCCTGCCAAAAACCATAAACGTTTTCTCCTCCACTACGGTTTGGTGCAGTAGTTTCCCGAAACTTTTCCGAGCATGCTAGAATAACAGTCTCTGTTAATCCCACCAGAAAGTCACAAACAGCGAGGTTCATTAAAATATAATAAGTTCCCTTGAGACGCGGTCTTTGAGACCAAAAGACACAGAAGGTGAGAGCGTTTCCAACAATGATTACGACTGCCTCAAGTAAACAGATACTGACGAATACGAAATTAAAAGCTTTGGACATTTTCGTTTTCCTGGGGCTGCCTTTTCACCAAAAGGCCCATAAATGTCAATCCCTCTTTATGAAAGTTCTTTTTTCCAATCAATGTCTCTGACCAATTTGACGAGCTGTATTTAAACCAAATAATCGACTTATCGAACTAACAGCAAACTGCGCCTTTGAAACCCAAGCTAAGTCCTGTTAACCTTGTGTCGACACTGGTAAATTCGCATGAAAATCATTCCGTCATTAGTCCTAAAATGCAAATATCACGTTTTCTCTAAATTAAATTTTCATTATGCACTCAAAAGGTCTCTTTTACATATTGTTTTTTCGTTGTAACATTTAGCTCTGGACTTTGAATTTTTCGTACTCAAGGTTTGAATAAGCTAGCTAAGAAAGTAACATAATTTCCAAATATCTTCAAATGTATGTCGAACATTTGCATCGCATGTAAATACTCAATAGAATACATGCGGCATAAATTCTTTGCTTTTATAAGCAGAAGCAATTACAAAAACTCTCACTCGCACCAACTGGACAAGTTTACACCTCTTTCAAATCGAATTAGGGAGATATATAATGTCGGAAATTATTTTAAAGCGATCGAGGAAAATCCTATTCCCTCTCTTAAACTTGAAGTGCGCGATGGTATCAGGGGAGGGAAAAACGTTGCATTTTAACAGCTGACCTATATAAACAAATGTCAACTTTGTCGATATTCTGAAGATTAAAATACAATTAGTCTTCTGTAAGCAGCTAACAAGCATATCCAGGTGTTTTAATACCAAATTTCTATTTACATATTTCCTTACGTCACGTTTTTTTTTTGCTTGCTCACCTTTCTTGCTTGCTCGATTGAAAGAAAATCTTCGCTTACTAATGACTCAGAGGGCAGTTCACAGAATTTCAGGTAATTCAAGTGAATCACCTAAGAGACCAGGCATTATTTATCACCTAGGTGACCAGGCATTAGGGACCTTAAGCAAACCACGTCGGCGACGGCAACTAGGACATGGAAAAACAAAAGATCTAATTGGCAGAACAACAGCTCGGCACGTGCGTTTTAAAACGTTATACATTTCTTAGCCGTCCTATACAAAACAACAACGTGAAATCATCACAATTTGCATCGCCTGCGAACCGAAACCGCGACGGCAAATTATTTTAACTCAACGCTTCTTTTATACGCTATGCTGAAGTTGAGGTGTGGCGCCTCATGAGACGGTAAACAAATGCAGCCATTTTTGAAATTCTAATTAAAAGCAGAAATTCATTTTACAATCGAAGTCTTCCTTGGCGTTGCCGTCCTGACTGCTTAAGGTCCCTATTATCTATCACCTTACCTGAGACGGGGGGGAGTGGAGAATTATGGGGGAATCACATGGTTTTCACGGAGAGTGGGAAGGGAAATCAGTCGTCGTTG